GGGGGGGGGGTTGAGGCTAACGCGACCCACAGGTCTATGCTCCGGTCTGCGTACACACGTGTGTTATGTAAGGTGTCTGTCAGAATTCAATATCCTGTCCACTTCCTGTCTCTGGAGGTGAGGCTTCATCTACCGACTTCCATAAATAAACATTCCCTGCAGAGACACGGCCTGGCTGGAACGTTGGAGCGTCTCCCAGGTTGTGTGTTGACGGAGAAGGAGAGGAACGTTGGGCCGAAAAAGTGTCTGTGTGAAGGTGTTAGAACGGGACGAGGATCAAACTGGGTCAGGTGTAGAACTGACCTGGGTTCAGATCGGAGCAGGTTAGCTCAGATCAGGTTTGTTCTCCAGAACACCACGTTCACCTCACTGCTAACTTTACTGTAGTATATTTAAGTAGTTGACTTGGAGTTTTTTGGCCAACTGTTGAGTACTTCCAGGCAAACGACGTGCTAGCTTTAGCTTTAGCTAACAGACACTAAGAGGGTTTATGTTTCACATAATAATTTAATCTGTTTTCAGATTAGTCGCTGATTTCCACTCCTCCCTTATCAATAACGCTGATCCTCCGAGGATTTACGTTCCATATTTAAGGTCAAGTAAGAAGTCGGGGACGTAACGACGCATCGTTAGAAATTGATACAAATCCCTGACAACTCTCATTGGTTGAAATCAAAACTGAATGGTCCATCACTGGTCAGACCATGACACTACACCCTCCAGTCCAGTAGGTGGCAGTATGCTCCTAAAAACCCACTATCAAACCCAGACGTCAGGTCCTACGTAGGCTGAGAGACGTTCAGGTGTTGGAACAGAACGTGGGAAGAACCGGTTCCACAGACACCAACAGTGTTCTCCAGTGGAACTCTTTCCACTTCCTGTTGTTTCTCTTCTTCTTCTGTTGTTGTTTCATATATTGACAGTTAACCAGTTTAACCAGAGCAGAACAGTTTGACCAGTTTAACCAGACCAGACCATTTGGACAGAATTTGTCTGGAGTTCATTTTGTTAAAAAAACAAAACAAAAACATGATAAAATCATATTGTAAACAAAAATAATAAAAAGTAAAAAGGTTGACTCGTTTCATAGGTTGAGTCGTTACATCCCCATTAATTGGTTCATCACGTTCAGCTCCATGCACTGACAGGCCTTTTCAACAAATCAGTTTTTGTCCTGGGCTGTCGCTCCTCTCTCCTTGATTCTCTGG